ACAGACAGGCGGATGGATGGACTTGGCTATAGCGTTTGGGCTGTGAATGCCGAGCAGGATTAACTATATATGGAATCTGGCCGTTGCATATAACTGCACAAAGCCTTTATACCCATTTTACGCATTTTATATGGGCTCAACGCAAAAGTCAAATGAAATCAACAAACAGGAAACCCGAGAGCTGAGCCAAGTCGAGGCCAGAACTTGCCACAACTACTTAGCGTCAGCGGCAGCCGCTCCAGCTGGTCAATGGCCGACGACTACAACACATCCGCCCTCTGTTCCATCCGCAAACAACCCGCATTCAGTTCAAATGCAGCCGCGCTCCTCTCCCGAGAAATGTGATAAATGGATGGGGGCATGCCGCAGGCCTTGCAGCTTGGACAGGGGCATGGCGGGCTAGCGGGGGCGCCCTGCGACAAGTAAATTAAATGGAATGGCGTAAGGCGTAAACTAAAATGCCGTACGCCATTTTGTTTTTAAATATATAAACACAATAAATATAAAAATAATAAAAGCGCCGGCCAAATGTTTGGGCTGTAAAAATTGTTTACGACCACTAAAGGAAAACCGCGACAACCCGACGCAGCAGCAGCAGCGACAGCAACAACACCAAAACAAAAAATAAAATAAAGCTGCCAATGCTGAGTATATGTGTGTGTGCGTCTGTGTGTGCGAGAGTGTGTGTGTGTTGTTTGTTAACCGGAAGTTTGCGGTTATGCGACAGACTAGTCGCCATATTGTGAATGTTTATGCGGTCGCTTACCGAACAATTTTATTGCGTGGGCAGATGAAGGAGAAAGAGAGAGAGAGAGATAGAGAGAGAGAGAGAGAGAGGGAGAGAGAGAGAGTGAGAGAGCGAGAAAGTGCGAGGGAGAGGAAGAAAGAAAGATGGAGTGTGAATGAGATAAATAGTGAAAGAGACGAAAATAGGCATGACTAAGAAGCCAGAGAGGGAGAGGAAAGGAAAGATATGAAGATAACGATAGAAAAATAGAAAGTGAGCGAATTTACGGGAACGAGGGATAGGATGAAAGAAAGTTGAGAAAGTGGGTAGGAAAAGAAAAGGACGAGAGAGTAATAAGGAGCTCGATAGAACAGACTGAGAGATATAGAGAGAGAGAGAGAAAAATATAGAGAGAAAGAAAGAGAAAAAGAAAGAGAGAGAGAGGGAAAGAGAGAGGAAGAGAAAGAACAATTGAGACTTGAGTTAAGTCTGCATTTGCCGTTACATTTTATTAAAAATTCCGTGAACCCAATTTTGGCATATGCCTAAAACAAGGTTTTAGTCGGAGAGCCGACTACAAATACTTCATCTGTGTGAGCTTATGTCTATACGACGCTAATAATCTTCAAGTTTGGCAATCGATATATATCGATTTTGGCTTTCTGTAAATTGTGAGGATCAGTGCTATTTTTTGTCTGCATATTTGAAGAGCTTAAATGTCTTGCATTTCGATTTCAAAATCGGATTCGCAGCGGCCAATAAAATATGGCTAGACAATTATTGAGGGCATCGATGCAGGCGCCCACGTGTTGGCAAACGAAACGGCAATTGAAAAATTATGTTAATTTCTTGGCGGCCCAAATGCAATATGGAGGAAAATCTGAGAGAAAAACCCAAAGGGTTTTCCGGCACTCCAGCACGTTGGCAATTTATTAGCACCAGCCCTGGCCGCTACCCACAGTAAGAAAAACCCCCCGTCTGTGGGCGTAGCACACTATTTAGAAATACAATACAGGCAGACACCAGGTTTAGGCAGGGGGGGGGGGGGGGGTCTTGGGTGGTCATAGGGAGGTGGATGCTGTCGCTTCCGTGATTAATGCCCGTCGTGGGCTTTTGTGCCGGCGCGCAAAATATTCGTGTAATCTACTTTAAAGCTCGAGCATTGCATAATTTTTGTATGCAGAGGAGACTATCTATGCTTTTTTTCCTATTGCAGTTTCGCCTTTCTTTTGCTTTGCTACCCGCCCCCCATCCCATCTCCTTCCCCCTTTGCTGTTGCCACTGTTTGCATGCAATTTGGAGCAGAGCAGCTGCCAGTGTGCAGGTCGTGGATGCTTCGGATTAGCCGGAACCAGGCAACTAGGCAACGTGGTGTCTCGTAAGTGGACAGCAGCAGCAGCCGCAGTAGATACCACCAAAATAGATGGGCCAAATGGATGGGACTCCAGTTGGACGCGTCGGCCCAACGGCAACTAACCAAAGCCCGAAGCTGGCTGAGATTCTGGCCTAAAATATGCCAGCCAGTAAGCGTAAAATTATGGCTTAGCCAGATATTAAGTGTAGGTGAGTGTGTGGTTGGGTTATGTTTAGAACATGTTCGTGTTGCATTTTAACATGCAGTTGAGGTTATTTGAGTTTAGGTTGAGAGATGCTGTGCAAATAGAGCATATTCAGCTGTTTGCAAATTCAGCAAACATTTAAGATAAAGCCACTCCCGCGCTATATACTGCAAGGTAAAACACAAAATCGCTTGAGGACGTGATTTTGGTAAATTCATCTCGCTTGGTGGAAAATTGAGTACTTCTGAACATTACTCTTAAAGGTAGTAGGGCTAGACTTAAATGCTTGCACGCAGAGAAGAAAAGTGAAAAGCTTAACATGTATAGAAAACCTCTAGATCCTGGTAAGGCCGGGTAATAAATGTTGTAGTACATATATGCATGTATATCTATGTATGTGCACTTGTATGTTTGCATGAACCTTTCATTTTCGACAAATTCAGACAAACCTATTTTTACAGACTCTCTATGCGATTCTCATGAATTCAAGCAAGGCCAAGATTTTCAAGTTCTGCTTTTAGTGGGTTATGCTAACAAATTATTTTGGAAATTTATGCATTTTCTATGCTAATGCCTTAATATAAGTTTGCACTTTTGCATACTCTTTCGCCTTCTTTCTCTTTTTTTTCGCTCTTCGTTTCTCTTTACTATTTTATTGAGTAATGAGTAGCTATGTGCATTAATGGCTGGGTAGAGATAGCTATATGCTTATATATATTTTATTGCAAATCAGTTTATGTTGAAACGAAGCTTCGTTTCACCCGCTGCTAGCTTACAATCACATTGAGTCCAATCATGCATGCACTTTTATCAGCTCTCTGCTGTGACTGTTATTGCATATTACATTATGAAAACAATCGTGGAATAAATGTGCTAAGAAAAACATTTACATTTACTTGTCGTCTATTATTATTTAAAATGAAGATGGAATTGTACTCGCTACTCGATGCTGGGCGCTGACAGTACTCGATGCCGGCAGCGCCTAAGGCCCTGCGCTAGCTGCTCTTGTTTTTACAGTGCTCACCAAATATTTTTCCTTTAACTCAAAGAGCGATGGCGGCAAATAAAATAAATCACGTTCGATAATATTTTTGCCCGTTCCGCTTTGGTCGCTGCTACGCTTATGCCTTTGCCTTTGCCTTCTTTTCGTTTCCTTTTTGCTGCCTTGCGGCAAAATTATTTCATTTTCTCTGGGAGGGGAACTGCTGTAAAAAGAGGAGGGGTGGCATAATAGTTATTGCTAGCGAGTTGACAGCCCTGGCCACAGATACTGTGCCTCTCTCTCTCTCTGTCTCTGTTTCACTTGTTGCTGTTGATTTGATTTTATTGCAGCGCAATGTCAAGTAAAAATATTTAATACCAATATTGTAGCTTGACAGTGTCTGTGTGTGTGTGTGTAGAGCCCATCTTATTAGCCATGTTGCCTGCAGCAGCAGTTGCAACTGTGCCAACTGGCCGTGGCATAAGCCATGTGGCATGTGGCATGTGGCAAGCCGGATGACGCAGCTAAGAAATTGCCAATCGCACACAGTCAACAGAGCAGCAGCTTTGACTCCAGCTTCCACTCCGACCCCCATTTCGACTCCCACTCCGACTCCCATTCCGACTCCAGTTGCCACCACAACTGCCGTCCTCGACTCAAGCACAAAAAGCACTCGGCCAACGAAATTGGTTTTGCGGTTACGCCAACCCCGCACACCTTGTCATAGCCCAGTTACCAGTGCCTTTGGTTCCCATTCCCGAGCAAACGATGACTGAAATGCCGCAGGTCAACTTTTGGCTCTGACATATTACCAAATTGCTTGCTGGCATTTAGGCAATACAACTAATTTGTGTTAAAATTCCATTAGCACCAAATATGCAGAAATTTGTTCAAGCAGGCGGCGAACACGAGGGCATTGGCTGATTGGATTTTGGCTACAAAACAAGGGCTGACTTTTCTAAATCGAAAATCGCTCCAAATTGAAACTGAAAAATTATTTGCTTGAAAAGGCAAACCGATTTCAACAGCTAATTTTCCACTCAAGTCACAAGAAGCCAGTTGGCAGCTAAATTGTCTCGCAGCCAACTTAATATGCGAGGCGAATTTCCGGCGCAGCCAACTTCATATGTATAGCGAAACACGCAGGCGCAGCCAACTTAACGCATGCGCCAGTGCTGCCAATTAAGCGGAAGCAAAAAGCACGCAAGCAAAGGCCAGTTGCTGTTATTGTTAACTATTCTTGCGGCTTAACCAAGTGCATATGGTAATTGGTCCGATATTGATAAGATTTTATCTACACTTATTTCTTGAGCGCTTGTTTCTATGGTGGCTATATGGATTTCAGACAAACCCATGTAAGATTTATTGACGATAATAATTGTGAGAGAGTATGAATGTGTTTGAGAGCAAGAATCTATTAGTTAAACCAGTTGCTGAAACTTAAGTCAAAGAACTTAAATTTTAATAATTTGCTAATTATATAATGCTTATTGTAAAGGGTTGTGGACCCACTTCTAGTCTCATACCATAAACGTGCCAATTAGGCTGCGGCTTCAATTTGGAATGCGAAATAGAACACAAAAATGATATATGTATAGTAGGCCAAGCCGAATGGCGAGACAGGGTCGTTTCTCGTTCGTTTCATTTGCACAAGAGAAGCAAAGCAGTTCCAGGTGACAGTTTGAGAAAATTCCTTATAACAAAACACATCAATTTTGTGACTTAATCCTCTACCCCCCCCCCCCCCCCCCCCAAAAAAAAATAAAAAATTAAAAAAAAAAGCTGAAAAAAATTGAAGCACACAAATTTCCGTGCAAAAAACCACAAATATTTCAAACAGGTGGGTAAGTGACAAAGAAACGAGCATTAAATTTAAAAAGACAACCTCTCTCGAGGAGGGTTGAACAATCGGCATATGCCCGCAGGCGTACTATATTAATTGAACGGAATACGCCGGATATTAATTGCGGGGGGTACTTGAGATGTAATTGAAAAGTGAATTTTCGATTGGAAATCTAATTTGGCAATAATGTCTTTTAATTGAAACAGCTCAAGACGCGGCACCAAACAAAACATATACATATACATTAACATATATATATATATATGTATATGTATGTGTATGTGTGTATAAATGCATATGTATTTATATAGATATATGATTAGAGCACAGGCATGGATGAGGGTAACCGCAAACTGGACATACAGGACGAGCAAATGGACGATGCCGATGGAGAGAAGATGCAGCGAGATACCACAAATTTGATGCGTCAATCGGAGAATTGCATGTTTACCATTCAGGTGGCGCCGGGCACCGTAATGCACATAAATATAGCACCCGAGACGGGTCCAATACCGGCCACCTGGTGTATATCCACATTGATCATTCACAATGGCCAGCATTATACGAATACTATACACAATTTCACCGTGAATCCGGAATTGATACAGAATTTGGGTTTGGTACAGGATCCAGCCGGTGGCAATATATTGCAACAGCTGATGATGAGTCCCCTGGACTTACCCCGTAATCCGGTGCAGTCCACGCCCCGCATTCTAGTCGGCGGCGGATTCGTTCAGCCAACGGCCGTATACCGCATGGTGGAGCACTATTGCAGTTATGTGATGCGCACGGCCAGGATATTGGATAACGTCTTTGGCTGGGTGGCGCCACAACAGAATCCCGTGCTGCCGGCCCTGGTCCAGGACATACACTTCACCAGCCAATCGCTGCAGGCGATGCTGGAACGGGTTCAGCGTTCAGTGCAGGCTGCCGAACAGCTCTTTATGCCCAACGTGGCTCCGTTGCCGGCCAAAGTTGAGGACGAGTCTCAGCAGACGGACATTAATGAGCTGCATACCGACGAGGAGATCAGCAGCGAGACCGAGGATGAAACCGAGGATGAGGGCGAGACCTGTGAGTGCACACCGGAATACGTGCCCTACGATGACTATGATGATTCGCAGATCAAGTGCGATAATGATTCGTCATCCTCGGATTCGGATATACGCAGCTCAATATTTTTAGGACCCGACTTTGAGGAGTTTCCGCAGCAGTTCTGGTCGCTGACTAGCAGCGAGGAGGAGAACGAGGAGGAACAGGGCGATGAGGAGAGCTGGGAGAGCGATTTTGAGGATGATGAATCCTTCGATGCGTACATGGTGCGCCAGTTGCGCGCCCATGCCACCGGTCTAGCCACACGCCTCAATTCCGATTGGGTTAATCTGGCCAATGAGCCTACGCAGGCGGATGATGATGATTGGGACATTGGATCGTGCGGGACCAATGGCGACATTGAGGATATACGCTCAGAGATAAGCTGCAGCAGCGAGGATCTAAACGCCTGGCAGTACAACGAGGATCGCACCTTTGAGACAGAGCTCAGTCGTCCATTCCGGCGGCTTGTTGGCGAACTGCCCGCCCAGACGGCCCAGGAGGAGCGTTATGCCTGGCGCCATACGTACGAAAATTTTAACTATCGCAGGGGTCTGCGTCATAGTCCCAACTATCGTCAATATCCAGATGAGTCTGTGCCGCTCTCCTTCTATAGCCATTGGCGTCCCCAGGAGAATCTGGCCACTTCTTCGGCCAGCTCACAAAGCGAAAGTCCGGGTCGCAGCGGTGCGCCGTATACCTTCTCCTTCTATTCGAATAATCTGGACTCCATGGACAATGTGAACGATTCCATGCAACCGAACTTATCGCAGATGCAGGACATTCATTTGGATGACTTGGATCAGGAGCGTGAGACAACGCCGGAGCCAAATTCGGACTCAGAGCCGGATGAACTAGAAATGGATGTAGATATTGAACTGGATGAGATACCGATCGATCAACAAATAGTTCCACTCGAAACTTTTATACAGCAGACGGACGAGCTAATTGCACAGATTTGGGCCAGCCTTTAAGTGTTGGCAAACAGCAGAAGATCAAACAGGAACTAGTTCGCAAGCAAACAATTGTTCTTTGTGTTCCGTCCTCTTTTTTTTTTTTTATACCAAATTTCAAATTCTTTTAACGCAATTTCTAGTTCCTAGCATTCAATTCTAACTAAACCAACTTAACCGATGTGCCTTCTGCTCAAATGACGAATGTCTTTATTGTTGTTCTGCGCAGCATTCGGCAATTTTTGCTTGGTCCTGACATGAACAAGTGCCTTCAGGACTCCGATGCGAGTCCTTTAACTATATCATCGTCACAAAAAAAAAAATTTTAGAAATAGGTTATTATATGAAATTTAAATTGACTCTAAGCTATTTGTTTACATCCACACATGACAATAAATGTTCTTGTGATCGTTTGCGTGTTCCTTAAAAGTGGTTCCATAAGGGGCAAAAAAATTGGTTTGCAGAATAAGTGTCCACTTTTGTAGCTTCATTTGTGATTGAAAATATTTCAAATGCTTTAATCGGTGCTCAAAATTGGGCTTAAACTTGCTTCAGGGCGATAGCTGGAAAACTTTAAGAGTAGAAATCTTGGTTGGAAGTTGTAATTGATGGTTGTTTGTTAAAAATGTTCTAAAAACTGGTTCAAAAATGAACTAAAATTCTAAAATCCTTGTGAATTGGTATATTTTTACATATTTGTATATAAGCTAGGTTTCTTATAGAATATGATTATCCAAATATAAAGCTATGGCTCAAAAATTGTTTTAATAGTAGTTCAGAGGCATATTTTAAATATGCATGCTAATGATAGCAAATACATTGGTAAATGCGTGAGGTCGAATATGAATCAAACTATTTGAGAGCAAATTTCGTTTTGTAAGCATAAACCGAGTTTAATTTATTTAATGCCAGAAAGTGCTAAGACGGCAACACAAAAAAGGGAAAATGTTGACAAGAAAAAAGAAAACAAAGCCTATTTCAGTTCAATTTAGATATCTTAAAATCTTATTTTATATAAATACAATTTAATCAAATTATTTTTAAAAGTTCCACACAGTTCCACACAGGCAACAAAAAAAAAAAAAAACAGACCATCAACGCGTCGGTGTGCCTTTGATATTTGCTGTGCATTGTTTTTCAGTTTTAATTAAAACAATTTATGCCGATAAATTGAATTCAATTATTTTATTCTAGTTCAGCTCCAGCAATCCAGGCAGCTAGACGAACCGGCGACTGGGCAGCCGGGCAGCCGGCCAACGGGTCGACCCACTGCACTAAAAGCGCCTTACAAATGGATTTTTATTCTTTTTGTGGTTCGTTTCTCGTTTTTTGTGCTGTCAGTGAAAGGAAAGCTGAGAATAAAGCATGGATGCACAGGAAAATAAAGCAACTAAGAGTGCTTCAGTCGGGAGTGAACGACTCTAGGGTATACCCTGTATTCGGCTATAAAGATACCGCTGTGCTTCGTCCCCAATTAGACACATTCTATTGGAAACGCATTCGTAGTTATCTTGAGTGTGTTAAGTCTATAGTTTGTGACATTTTCAGAGCTTAATGCCAAATCTAAGGGCTTGCACCTTAAATATGAGCTTCTTTCAGTTTGGTGCTCAAAACCCAAAGTTTGGCTTAAGGTCATTTCTCAAAATCGATATTTATCGATAGTTTATTAAACTGACAAAAACAAAGATAGACCTGTTCTGCTTATGCCATAGGAGGAAAAATATCCCGGAGATCGAGTCGGTCGACCTGATCAAGCAGATATATAAAAATGCTGGGCTCCTTGTTCCTTGCTTCTGCCTGTTACATGCACTGGCATAGCGGCAATCTACCCCAATCTACCATTTTCAATAGTTTGCGAGGTATAAAAACGTAGAAAGGCAGCTGCTGCGGTCGCCTTGTTAAGCTCTTGTTTTGTGCCAGAAAGAAAATGAAATAAGGCAAAGCCTGAGAAATGATTATACCATAGAATGCCAAGCATTGAATAAATCAAATATTTTTAGATTGCGGCCAGCATCACGTCGTTTAGTTCAGCTTAAATCAAAGAATCAACCCCATTTGAGCTCTGCTCTGATTGTGGCAAGTCCCTACAAATAGTTATTTAAATTTCAATTACAAGTTGTTGGCTGATTGTGCGGATTGGATTGAATCGATTTGGAATTGTTTTGGAATTATTTATTTTAATCACATGTGCGAGCGGCTGCTAAGGCTTTTGCTTTTAAATTCTTAGACCAAGTAAATCAGAGGCAAAACAATTTCAATTTTCTGATATTATGAGCGTATATCTAGGACTCAATGTGCTGAATCCCTTTAAAGTACGCCTATGTAAAACCGAAAGTAAACCTGAACCAAAGCATAACCGTGTATGGTTATAGATGGTAAAATGATATACAATCGGAATGATGTGTTGAGTTGATTTAATCATGACATCTCATCCATCCATTGTCTTAATTTTAATAAATATCGATAAATATCGATACATTGTCTTAATATCGATAAATATCGATCTTGAGATACAGTTCTTAAGCAGAACTCGAAGATAATAAGAGCTAGATATATCTGAATTGGTATGTAGCTTCCCGTTTAGTATACGCAGACTTGGAATACTCGACTTTTTGGATATTTCCATCCATACCTACCGAAATTTCAAACAACTCACCTTTAAAGATGTATGTATATTTGCATTTGAATATACTCACACAGTTGAGTGCTATCTAAGATCTGAAATTTAATGAGGATGCGACTGTGGTTTCTTGTAGGCTGTTCGATTGGAATGTCAGCTCGGATCTAGGTTCAAGGCATTCCCTGGTATTCAACACTCTCGACTTCCACTTGCTTTTCCGACTAATTCCTTGACTGTTCTCTTCCTTGTTATTCATATCTTCACCATCTTGCCGCAACATTTCTTTGTTCGCATCATTAATTTCGACTAGATGCATCTAATCCACACACGATTTCCGCCGCTTTTGCCGACTAGGAAACGCTTTACTTACATGCCACATGTTGGTCATAATGGTGGTTGCTGGCGGAGATTGAGGGGTTGGGGTTGGGGTTACGTTACGGCTCAGTTTCAGGTTCGCCTTTCGGTTCGAAGGTGGTTTTTGGGTCTTTGGTCTTTGGTGGTCTCTGGGTCGGAGTTCAGTTCGTGCATGTGTAACGCACGTTCCATGTGTTAACGAGTTGGAAAAATTATTATTACATTATTATTTTGTCTGCGGGTAATTCAGCAGCAGCACCAACAACAACACCACAAGGTGCAGTCTCTCTGTGTGCGTGTGTGTGTGTGAGGCTTACAATAACAATAAATTTCAATTCTTCACACAGAGCAAAGCGCCTGGCATTTCTAGAATGTAACTGTGGAACGGGGTGGCAACCCTTGAGCAGCTTGCGCTCAGCAATTTATGCGCTATACGCGCGTTGGCTAAATAAATTTATAACTTACACACACACACACACACGCACACACACAATCGCACACACAAACACACACACATGCAATCAGCTGCATAGTTTCGAGGCAGCCCCAACTCCCAGCCCCCTTCTCCATAGTTTAACTCTTCCACAACTTGAAACGAGCTTTTGGTTTGTTTTTTATTTATTTTTATTTTTTTTTTTTGGTCTTGGTTTATTTTACAATCCTAGGGCTACCTCCAACTGCAGACACGCCCTTCGCTCGTATTACTTTTGGCTACATTAGTAGCTTGCGTCCATTCCGACAGCGGACCCCCTTTCTACGCCCATGCTCGCTCGCCGCAGCCACACCTCCCTCGGCTTACACATATGAGTTTATCTATGTCTCTGTCTTGTGTGCGTGAATTACGAAAATTTTCTTGCAATTAAAATTTGTTGCTTTCTGGGTATCATAATTTTATAAGTTTCAAACTAGAGACAGAGCGAGAGGGAGCGAGAAGCAGGGAGAGAGAGATAGAGAGAGAGAGAGAGAGAGAGAGCAGAGAAGGACCTACTAGACGCCGTTGAATTTAACAAATTACAAAAAGCTTTGTGCATATGCTTAAAATAGATGTGCAGCTATTTGTGAATAATTATGGAAAAGTTGTAGTTTTTACTTAAAGCTTTAATATACGAAACACGTTTTGTGTGCTAGCATAACAAAATCGTACGATTGTTGACAGTAGGAGCTTCCAGGTTGCATTTGAAGCGTTTTTGAATTGAAGTCAATTAATTTTCGCAATGCACTACGAAGCTTTATGTCAATGAAAATTTTGGTTTTGCTTAAAAAAGATTAACACTGTATAAAGTATTTGAAGCTGTAAAGCTTGAGCTTGTTTTGTTACATTTGAAGAAGATATAAAGCTTAGCAGTGCCTACTCTGCAACGTTTACGGACAAGGCATAAAGAGGAATTGAAGAAAAAAGAGAGTATCAAATCAAGTAAGCTGTTTGAAATTTTAAACAATTACTAAATAAAGTTAAATTAGTTCCAATTCGTTTTTTTTTGAAAGAGACAAACATTTTTTTTTTTTTTTTTTTTTTTTTTTGCTTAAGTGCACCGTAAAAGACTTTCAAGCGGATATTCAATTGAAAGCGTTTAATTCAGCCAAATGCATATGGTAAGCAGTTGTACTTGAATATACTATTCAGATGTATATAATAACATATATACTTATATATATGTATATATTTGTACACATTGATTCATATACGTAGTTCTTGGCCCGAGCTACGTCTTGCGGAATTGGGTTAACACTAGTTAATTTTGTGTGGCAGTCAACGTTGCGATACCGAGCTGTGGAATAGGACACCATTTGTGTATATCCTTAACATTTGGCAGATCTCAGAGTCTGAGTGCTCTGCTTGCGCGGCGGATAATTGGCTGTATACGATGAACACGTGAGCTGAGTTCAAAAATATTCTTGCATTGAAATAACCATGTGAAAATTGCAGCTTTAATTCAAATAATAATGGTTGCAAGATGTCGAGACCGCATTAAGCCCAGATTTGTGGCTGCTGATTTTGGGTATATGCTGTCGCATACGAAAGCTGCACTTTATAAATTTCTAATTACACATATGCGACAATGCCTGCGGCTCAGGCAACGGCAACGGGTCAGAGCTGTGCAGAGCTTAAGGGCTGTCTATAGCGCACCTGTGGAACTATCAAATGTGTACACTGCACAAAATGCATCAGTATGCAAATGAATGAAATCTTTCATTTAACTCAGAGCTCAATTTGATCATAACGCTATGTTCATATAAAAGTGATCTAACAACCGGCTTGTATTAAGTATTTCAATCCTTTTTTTATTTATTATAAACATAAACTGGGTTTGGGGGATCACAAAGTCAAAGCCATGCTTAAACTTAAATGAGCTTTCAGCGGCTTTAGGCTGCATTTTGGCGCAGTGTATAAGACACACACACGCACATACGAGCACACTAAGGCGTACGGAGACAATCGTTTGCCTTTGTCCCTGTTAATGCCACAAATACGCCTAAAATTATGTTAAGCACTTGAGTCTGAGGCGCCCAATTGGTGGCACATGCAGCGGTAACGCGGGCAACGATGATGGCATCGGCTCATTTATAAATCGACGACAGTAAATTATAAATGGGAATTACTCCGGCAACTAAGAGGGTTTCCTTTGCAAAGCATGTGTGTGCGCGGTCGTGCATATGTGTGTGTGTGTGTGTGTGTGCACACATCAACGCCTTTGTAAAATTGAGCTGTCCTTTGTCGCACACAGACACACAGACACACATCGCACACACACACACACACCGTCGCCAACGAGGCGCATATTAAAGTTCAAAAGGCAACGACAGGCAACGGGGACAGCAACTTGCAGCTGGCAGTGTAAAATGCTGGCAGCAGCTGTCGTTGAGTGGGCGTGCAGCCAGTGTTGAACAGCGGCCAAAAAAGCCTAAGGATGACAAAGACCGCACACACACACACACACACACACACACACACACACACACCCTAGCGCACACACATTCTTAATATGCAAAAGTGCCAAAAGCAAGTTCAAAAATAAAAAAGATAGAAAATAGCGCACTCTACTCTTGAGTGCTTGACTGGCAGTTATCCTGTAATCAAGTCCCACTTGCTGTCAAAGCTAAAAAGCCCTTTAACGTGTTACATATTTCATTTAACTGACGGACAGACAATCTGAAAGGTGAAATCTAATGCATCAATATAAGATTACAATTGTTAGAGTTGTCAATGTTCTAAAGTGTTCCAGTGTTGCCACCTGTCAATAATTTGACCATATTACAGCCTTGGCGTGAAATTGCAGGCATGTTAATTTGAGAAGGATGAGAGTAGAACGCTCTTGCACATAATTATAAAATATATATTGCGTTAAAAAGGCCTATAGCTAAATGAAATTAAAACAAAGTTAATGTTAAATTTAACATGAAGATTGGCTGCTTTGAATCTAGCCTGCAAACTAATTTTTTCAATAAGAACTGAATTGAACTGAATCTTAAGCCGAGGCATACCCAAAAACCGATAAGATCCTAGTTTGTTTGCTAGAAGTTTTTTTTTGTTTTACAAAATAGCGCCTGAGTTTGTTTGGGATAGACAGATCAGATATCCAGTTTCTATGTATATTTAAAGCAAGCCAGTTTCTACGATACCCTTGCGCTTAAATGAAAGGGTATTAAAGCAACCAATGCCAGGCCATTGGCATATGGCTGGGAACAAACAAACCAGTCGACGGGCCAAAAATACAAAAAAGACGACTCAATCCAGAATCCGCACCAGATGTAAACAGTTCGTTGTGAGGATTTGCGCATAGTTGCGAACTAGAGAAAAAGCACGCGACACACACTCACACACACATACACACACTCGCGCGAAAAAGGATGCGCGATAAGAGGAGGCAGCTGCTGCTCCTGCGGCTAAGGCGGCGGCTGACGCTGAGGCTGTGGCTGTGGCTGAGGCTGAGGCTGCGCCTGATGCGGTGGTACGTAACGACGACAAGGTCGAATGGCTTAGGAAGTAATTTTAGCATTGTAAATCCTTTTCGAAAATTATAGCGACAGCCAGCTTGTATTTAGTGGCAGGCAGCTAGAGGGGTGTGGTTGAACAGGCGGTATAAAAGCCTGAGGGGGGGGGGGTTATCATAAGATCAAGCGCGGGCCAAATTGCGTTGGTTGACATCAAGTGTACGAAAATTTGTGCACAAATAACAACACACAAATTCATATATATGTATATGTAAATTTATATACCCTGCCGCACGGCATAGTGGGCTGTGTTCGTCGGCCAATTGGCACCGTGTTGCCTTTTAGGTGTTTAGAAGAAGGGACAGTGCTGTCGCTTCTCCTATCCGGCACAAGGAAAGGTGATTATGCGCGTGCTTCGTTCAAGCCCGGACTACAGGGTATGCATAATATACATATAATTATACGTACACACAGACACACACACTCAGACAGGCACACACGCCCACACACACACACGCGCATCGGCAACAGTCAAGCGCAAAAAAATTCATATGACATTTGAAAGGCTGCTCAGCCGCACCGGCAACTGGCAGGGCTCAAGACAAGCCAAGACGGCGAATTGTGCAGGGTGTAGGATGGCAAGGCTGGTAAGGATGGGATGGCCTAGGTGATGCGGAAGAGGGGACAGCAGTTGGTTTAGTGAGTCACATATAGAGATAGACGCGTACATAAATTTGCTGGGCGTTCTAGCAAAAAATAATGCATGCATTCCCAATTTCAAAGTGCCTTCATCTAAAATATGTGCGGCAATTCAAGTACGCACACACACACACACACACACAGGAATCTATGCCCGTAAATACACTTACGCACGTTACGTTATAGCTCTAGATTTATTTTGACATTTTTTTTTTTTTTGTGTGCGTCTCAAAGAGGCACAAAGTATGGAAATGCCAACTTAATGGAAAATTCAAAATATCCACTTCAATAAATTTTGCATTACGTTTACGTACGTACGTAAGCAGGCGATATGTCGGACTTCCGCGAGCTGAGCTGTTCATTCTGCAGGTTAGTTATGTTTTTAAGTTCGCAAGAGCACAACAAACTTGACAAGTGGTCTTGCAAGAGAAGCTAATATTTGTTCCGTTACGTTACGTAAGTGTGTAACGTAAGGAGAGTACAACTTGTTTATACTTTAGATTACTGAAGACAGCCATAGGAAATGTTTTAATCAGAAGTTGCATTAACGTTACGTTAACATGTCCCGAAAACAGTGGTTACAGGTTACGTACCGTAAGCTTACAACGTAAGAATCTTTGACGTAAGGTATATAATAAATGGTTACTTAGTTGTCTAATTTTGGAAATTACGTTAGCTCTACGTATTATTATGAACTTATGCTCGGCTATTTTCTAGTATCCATATGGTCAAATTCCATATGCTGCAGTAAAAACCAATTGAATTTGATAGCATTGGAAAAGTTGTACGTAACGTTATTGAATACTCGGCCACTTTTAAGTCGTAACGTAAAGTTATATATAAATTGATTTATTGTAGCAGATTGACCCATAAAAAGTTGACAATAAGTTTCTTTATTTAATGTGAAAGCACAGTAAAAAAGCAAGTTGCATCGCAAAATTTGTTGGAAAATTCGAAAGGTATCTTCAGTGAATAGAACCGACAAAACTTTGGTACATCAATCTAAAACTATCAATAATTATTTTTTTTTTTAATAACGATGTATGTGGACTAAAAAATATAAATATAAATTTATACCTAGGCATTTTTCGCACGGTGTATTTTTCGTGCTGGCAGCACGTTTTTGTTGGTTTAAAAGTTTATGAAGGGGGGCTCCTGGCTCCCGGACAAAGTTCGCAATGCGGTTTTCTGTCTCTGGATTTGTTTGCCGCTTGTTGTCTCTATCTCACGTTTGACAGTTGGCATTACGGTGGCCAGATTGAAAATCGCAAAAAATTCGGCCAGCAGCAGACGCCTAGCGCGATGGCAACTTGATATTTTATTTGAATGCAATGACCAAATCAAAGTGCCAGTCGGGTGTTGCTGGAGTGAGCGACCGACACATACCCTGTAACCAGATCTCTTGGGCTTCAGTTGGGCTCGATTACATAACATTTGAGGTGCATGTATGTTAACATAGAAGATATCAAATCGAAACACATTGTTCAGTATAGAAGCCATACACGTTTTTGTAACTGCATAAAAGTTAATTTTTTTCACAAAATGGGCAGCACTTAAATTCTGATATTGTTCTTTCCAACTTAAGACCAAGTGCACTGCTTATAGGAAAATATTTAAAAGCAAACTACTTCCTATATAACTTTTAATAATTTTGTATACATATTTATTAAAGCACAGCAAATTTTGGAAACCTTCAAATAGAGTACTTTGCGATACCAGCAAAACTTCTAATATTAATTGCAGATACAGTCCGTATCAAACAGCATCCCGTTGACATATCGAAGCTCTTTACTCATCATCATGTGTTTGCTGTGGCAAGGATCTTAAAGAATATAAAACAAACCAAATTTTTAGCGAATAGCTTACGAGCCAGTGCTGTCAACTTACCTCGTCTAGTTAGAGCGCGATGCCAGTGTTGAACGTCGTAGTGTTAGGCAATAGGTTATGGTGCATAGTTCGGTGTGTATATCAATTCGTGCAGCGAATTGTGCATAAGTTGTAGTATTGGCCAATACAAGTATGAGCATAGTTGAGTGTAAATTTAAATATTTGATTCCGAGTCAGCCTACCTCACAGTGTTGGATAGTTCGAGTGTGTGAATAGTTACATTTACATATATACATTGTAGTGTTGCGCAATAGTGAATTTCAGCATCAATTTTTTTTTATTAAGTTATGCGGCATAGTGTTAGACAATACCTATGTGTAATAAGATTGTGTTGAATTGATGGCTTTTAAGTTGTCATTACATCGTAGTGTTGGTTAATACGTTTCTGCACATATTTAAGTGTGTGAATATCAGTACGAGCTTTTAGTAATATGCATGTCGGCGTGTTAGGAAATATTTTTAAGTGTATAGACATACGTCGAAGTGTTGGTCAATGTTGTATTGTGCATAGTAAATGTCCGTGTATGCGACGAAGAAGGGGGACTGAAAGTAAAATTACCTTGGGAAAAATGTTAAATGTTGTAATACGAAATGTTAACTTACATGGAACAATACATTTTATATTATCGTATATTTTTTAAAAAATCACAATCACTTTCAGCTTAAGAACAAAATTTGAATTTAATGTATAACATTTTTTTTTTTAAATTATTTTATTTGTGTTTTTGTTAAATTCTTTTGTTGTACTCCCCATCCTTATGAGTTTTGTAGTGAGGTTTTGTAGTCTGAAGGCTCCATATGAAAATTTGAGTGAAAGTACTGTGAATGCTACTACGTTCTGATAAAATCTCTATAAAATTAAAAACTATGAGTTGAGTCGAATTTAAGATGTCAGAAGAGAGAAGAACATTATGAACATTTTTACGACGATCTTCGCGAGTGAGCTTAAACCTGATCAGAGTTAAAAAAAAACCTTATGCAATCATTTATTTGCGACTTTTAGTTAATCGGAATTTTTAGTTTTTCTTGCTAATAATTACTGAGAAGCTTTTAAAATAGTATATTAAATTGATTCGTTTAAATTGGGACAAGGCAAAGGTTGAATATAAATCAAGTTGACGTTGGGTGCAAAGTTCACGAACCGAAATATAAAATGAAATAGTTTCATAGAATATTCGTATTTTGTTTTGGACTAAGTTCGTGCCGGATACGAGATGACACTATTTCTCATCTTTGTGTGCACAGGGTATATCAACTGAATCCTGGTTAATGCAGCTACGAATAACTGCAGCTACTTGCCACACACACGGGCACACCCACACACACCCACACACCCGCACTCGCAGCCGCACACACACCTATGCCTTGGGGCTGCCTCGGAAGTAACTGTAAGGCAGCTAACGGATTTACTCGTCCATTTTGGCCAGATTACTTGTAGCCAAAGTCGATGCCGGCTGGCAATGTGCTAAAAACCATATAAGATATAGGAACTTCTAGATTTTGCTTCTCTTTTTTTATTAGTATATTTTCTACTTTTTTGTTCTAGCCCTGGCGAATTGTGGCAGCTGGTAATTGGTAGCTTTGCGCATGTAGTCAAAAAAAAAAAATAAAAAATAAGTAAGAACAAAAATGTTCAGTGAATTGCGTATACGCCTCGAAGGCCGCGGCTTAGGCAGCTGCAACAGCAGCCGAACTTGCCCAAAACGAGAAAGTTACTTTTGGCAGCAGCAGCGGAGAAGTTGAAAAATATTTTTGCTCGGCGCTAAAGTATTTTAGCAATTTTCTGAATATATTTATAAACTTGTACCAAAATGTACTCATTTAAAATCGTGCGCTACCCGCCTCCCATTCGTCCTGTCTTCACTTGACTTGCCAAAATCTTTGGCATAGTTCTCGTCCTGAGCCCTCGCTGGGATAGTTTGTGGTCCGTTAGAGCCAAAGCTCAGCTAAAGTATGCGGCAGCTGTGGCAGGTGAAAAACTTGTGAAAATTAGCAACACTGCCGTCGGGCATTTAACAACACTGAATGCCACTTGACACACTGTCTTTGCCAGTCCCAGCCAGTATTAGCCAAAACCAATGGCAATTCCTTCAAATTGGCTCAGCTTCCCGAGATTCTGCTGTCGTCGCATTCTAATCTTCTTGAAAAGCCCCAAGAGTATTTTATAATATAATTATATAACATATAATTTAAATCAAATCATTTCAGTTAAATCCCATATTTGCTAAAACAGAACACAATTTCGAAACCTCGATTCAGCAGAACTCGACCCTCGATTCTGGTATACCTATATATATATACTATATATAATATATATAGCCAATATACCATGTATTCTAACGCACTTCGTGCACGTCAAATTGTTCCTGAAACAGGAATATGCTTTTGATGGCAACCCTAAGGCAGCGTTGCCAGGGTCGATGCTGTAAAATACCGCAAAAGATTTAATTGAATACTGCTCAAAGCTGACGCGGCAATGCCTAAAGTCATATGTAATATATAAATATTTACTGCTCTAATACCCTGCATTTATTAAATGTGTGTATGTGGGTATGATAAGGTTGGGAGATTGAAGGTAAAATGAGAGAATGTTGCCCTTTCACTTCTGAGAAATGCAGAACTGGAGCGAAATACCCGAATCAAAACCAATCTTAGCATACGCCTGGGCACACAATCGTGAGAAACTGAAAACTGAAACAGCAAACATTTGGTTGGATTTGCTGCCTTGGTGGAAAGTAATATATAGTATATGCAGCAAATACCTCCAGCAGATATTGATATTCATACACCTATAGAGTATATTTTAGTCAACTGTAAAATTTCTATTCATATTCTATTAAAACTAAATAATTAACCAACACAATTTGCAGTCCATAAAAATGTATGCACATAGTTTGATTAAAGCCGTGCAAATCCTCAAAATAATTTATACATACCTGTTAAAAAGGCAAAAATTGCAATGCAATTAAATGCCGGCAGACATACAAATGCGACTATAGAAATAGCTGTGTGTGTGTGTGTGTGTGTGTGTGTGTGTGGTTATGCATGTACATACATATATTATGAGACAAGCTAAAAATCAAATGCAGCAACAACCGGATGGTGGCAACAAAATGCAAATGGACGCCAGCGGAAACCGCGCCAACCGCACACCGGAAAACTAAACACGCGCTAAAGAGACGCAGCTGTGTGCGGGGCATCGTTTGTGTGGCTGGTCGCCGGGAGGGAGGGGGGGGGGAGGGGGATGGTCAGCTTAGGCCGGCTTTCACTGGCCAGTTGCTCGGGCACCTGGCAACTCGTTAGCGCTTAACAGGCCCAAATGCTATGTCCAATATCAATATTGACATTAATTTGTGCGGCTCCACAAGCTTTGCAGACAGCCGACCGCCTCCTTGCACCGACCATCGCCCCTGTCTCTGCGTTACGGTTGAGTGGGCGGGACCTTTGGGCTGGGGTCCAGTGAAAGTGGATGCGGCGCCTCCAACTGGCAGGCTGGCAGGCAAAAGCGCTGCATTAGCCCATATCGTATATCATATGCCGGCCACTTCTACAAAAAAAAAAAAAAAATTGGTGGGAGTGCTTTAGTCGGCACTGCCCGACTAGGATATGCCCTGCTCACAGCGAAGGGACCAGCTTTCCTCTATACACACATACACAAAAGGTCACCCACACACTTCGATGTTAATTGTTCGATCCCAGCACCAGAATCTAGCGTTAAATGAAATAAATACAAGATTCAATTTTGGATGGAGGAGAGTAAGAACGTTTCATCAAGTTTCTAAGTCGTTAATTATCGATATATTGGAAACGGAAAGTGATATCGATAAATAAAGCTCTGTTTTGGAAGAATGTTTATTTCCAATTTGAAAAGTCCAGCTTTTCTAGCTGTCCAGATAGATGAGATTATCGTCCTGACCATATATAAAATTTAAAAAGTTGGAAAATGTTACCTTCGCACAAAACTTATATACCCATTTGAGCAATTTATAATGCGTTCAGGGTATCTAGAAAAAATGAAAAGCCGCGTAGCAGCATAATATGAAAAATGCCGCAGGACCGCATGAGTTTTGGGTTTGGGGCTTGGGATCGGAACCGTGCTGTTGCCCATGTTGCCATAGCTGTTGCACACACACACATATTTTTTTTTTCTGAGAGCGAAAAAATGCAACTTACTTATACCCTGTAAGCGCTTTTCACAGCATATATGTAGCTATTCTGTTTATCATTCGCTCTGCTTCACATTTTGCTCTTTGTAAAAATATATATTCAAAACGTGTTACGTTCTTTTCGGTGTGGGTTTTTGAGGACTAGGGTCGTATGAAAGAATTTCATGTTTTTGAGCGATTAGTCTTAAGCCTGATTTTTATATTTGACGTAGAAATATAATATCCACTGCGCTTTGTGCAAATGGAGCTTGAAAGGCCTAAGAAAATATTTAAGTTTTTCAACGGGTCGAAAACAATTGGGAAAGTAATTTAAAAAATGTCAATAAAAACATCTTGAGCCGCATAAAATGTGGTAATTATATTAAATTGACCTCTTTGCAATGCCCACAGCAGTTGAACAATCAGGTTTTCCTTGGCTCAGTAGGCCGAGCTGTCGGCCAGATTTTCATTTGGAGACGATATACAACAAATCGCCAGTAAGCAGCATTTATTCATTTTCATTTTTTGCAAAAAAAGAAGAAAAAAAACTAACAATTTTAAAGTGCAGTAAACATAAGAACAAAGTGATAATTTTTGTAGGTGCACTATGCTATAGTTCGTTAGGTTCAGAAGGTGAGTTGGTCGCTCTGTTATTTGATGTTCTTAATCGTTCTGCCCTTTCGCTAGCTAGTGTAAGTGTTTTAATTATCTCACCTCCGGAAACACCGAATTGAACACAGACCGACTAAACACGAATGGTGAGTTGGATGCACTAATTGTTTGTCCTTGGCCTGTTGTTCCTTGTTCCTTTCAGCTCCCTCAAATGCCTTTACTTTTGGAAGATGTCCAAATTATTTGTCATGCCCAAATTTCTGCTGATCTCAGCTTTGGAAGACTGTCAAAATTGAAGTGTTGCCAACTTTGTGAATTCAAATTATCTTTTGATTTATAATTAAAATTCTTGTGTAGTTTCTATCCTAGAGAAAGTGTTCAACGACTGTTCATATTTGCAGAAGGTACTGTCATTTAGTCAACACAAAGAATGAAAAACACTTCGCATCAGCAGCAGAAAGTTGGGACATGCAACATGTCCAAGAGGGCAACAGAATACTTGCGCATTATATGTGGAACTGCAGCAATTACAGGGTATTAAGAATCGGAGGCTTTTTTTCTTATGGCAGCGCAAAGAATCTTAAAAACAACTGCAAAGCATTTGCATTAGAGCCAATGGCGAAGGCGTAAACTGTAGTCAAAATTGGTGGGCGTGTGGCTGGAGGATGTGGGTGTGTGTGTAGGTGTATGTGTTGCAGGTCACCGTCGAGGTTATTATCATGTTAAAACTGCAAAATGCAATAAGTTAGCTGGCGAACCGCGTTCCGACCAACGGGTGGCTGGCATTCGGGCAGCAGCCCTGCTGTGCCAAGATTTATTAAGTACATTTTTGTAAATATGTATGAATATATTTTGTTATTTTTGTTTTTTCTGTTTTCCGTTAGTTTCTTTGTATACCCTGAACCCATTGAGAGTGGGTGAGTGGAAGGCAAGGTGTTTGTGCAATGTTTCCAACAGGCAGTAGAAAGCATATCGATCTGTCGATCGTCTGTCTGCCTGTTTAAAATAAGTTACAGAATTTATATATGAAACAATTATCGATTGTAAGACCTGGAATTAAGGTTCTCGTATAGTACTTATAAGTAGATCGGGAGAGTTCAAAATTTTGAATACCTTCCCCAAATTTGGTATTTGCAAGGTTTCAAATCTCTTCTAATTCGCAGGAAATTAAAACATTTTCATAATGATCTGACTTTGAGCACTTAAGAAATTAAAGCTAACATTATCCTTAGAGTCGGGCTAAGGTAAGAACTAGCATAGTCCCTGTCGAAAAGTGTAACAGGAGCTAAGGGCAAACTTTAGGGTATTTCTTAGTCGTGCATGTTTTCCTGTTTGTGTGCTATTCTCATTGGTTATGCAAAAAATCTGTTTGGAGTTTTGTGTTGCTGCGCTTTAAGCTTCGCTTTTGCAATTTAATCGGAAGTGCAAGAAGCATGCTGTGGGCAGGGCATGGCGTGGCGTGGAGTTGTCTGGGAAAGGGGTGCTGCCGCGAGGGGGTTGCCTCAGACAATGTGTCATCAGCGAGTGCTGCTTAAATTTGTTTCGCCTGTTTGTGAGCCAACCACAAAAGTCATTATCATTATCGGATGGCGTAGATGTGGCAACTCTGGCAACAAAAGTTGCCATCGCTCGCAAATTTCTTCGTTTGTTTGTTTGTTCGCTCGTCGTTGTCGTTAGGTAATATTCATAATATTTAAGTTTTTGGACGTTTCGCCCATTTGGGCCCTCATTAGGGGTAATTTCGAATGTCATTTGCATGCGAGGCGCCCGCAAGAAATATGTTTTTGTGCGCTGCCACCGCGCCCCCTCCCCGTACACTTTCTAGCGAGCCGCTGAAAATGGGCATGGGCGTGGCTGGCAGAGCCCCTACACCAGCTTAGGTGCATTTGTAATGGCAATTTAATGGGTCCTATAGCGATCGTTACAGCTGAGAACTGTACAAAGGAAAACAAATATGCATATATCAATTTGTATGTGTGCGCATGTGTGTGTGCATGTGTGTGTGTGAAGCCAAGCATTAGCCTATTGACCTATATATGCATACATATACACCTGATGGGCGTAATAAATAATATGCTGTTTAAATAGTATATTAGTACATTCACTGTTCTTGTTGAATACTCGTTGTATGGTGGGCCTTGACACAATTTTATACTGGCTTATGCTGGGCATAATAACATGGGCTTATTCCGAGCCGCACCGCCAGTTCACCAGTATTTAATATTCAAAATGATTTTAAGGCATACCGAAAATTATCGAATTGCATTGAACTGCAAGAATAAAAACTGTACTTTTAGTGGAACCAATGCAAATAATAATTTTCCTGAACAGCATCCTGAGCATCTACGAACGATCACCCATACTTTCATCAGGATTAAATCTAATTATTTTAAGAATTGTCCGATACAAGAGTGGCTTGTGACTTTGGTCATGCAACTAATTGTTGTTGTACAGGCGCCAAGAATCCATTCGTTACTTCAGCTGTAACTGTACTTACAGCTAGCTAACGAGTAAGTAACTCGCTTCTTGGCGCAGGAACTACTCGTTCCCACTTCTTAGCGTACGCAAAGGCTCGTTGTTGTACATGTGCCAAGCATCCATTCGTTTCTTCAGATAAAAGCTAGCGAGTACAGCTTCAACGAGTGGACCACGCGCGAGTGGAGAGCTCGCTGCTCAGACAGAGAGCTGTAAGTGAAGTGAGTGAATTTAATTCAAGAAACTTTTGCCTAGAAGCTGTTTCCTTAGCAGTTTGTAGCACTTGGTGCTGTAGTGGTACAAATGAGGCACTTGCGAGCGTTCTGGGTTCGTTGATCACAAAGTGAACCAATTTTGATGTCCTTCCGCGTTCTTTTGTTGGCTTGACCCGCCGTAATTAGAACGGGTTGATGTCACTTGATGTCTTTAGCGCGGCAGCTGTGACTGGCAGTGCAGCTCGTCCGCCGCTCTCCCCACCTGCTGCTCTTCCCCGCTGCCCTAGCTCCTTTGCCGGGAAATGCGCTTTGGCAACTTTTTGCACTCGCTCCGCATCTTTTGCGTTCACCCGCGCCCTGCGCGCGCCTGTCATGCCTGTCGTTTGGGAGCTGTTGGAAAAGCTTTTTGCTGTTTAATTGATGCTTGAAAAATGCAAAGGAGCAGCTTAAAGCGCAGCAAAAAGCAAAGGGAAAAGCACGCAGACACCCAGAAAATGCGCTGAAAAAAAGTAAAATTAAGTAAAATGCAAAAATTAGATAACAAGCAAAACGTCCAACAGCAAAAAAAAAATATATACTATTTTTTTTTAAGTGAATAAAGTGAAAAATACAACAACAAAAATGTGAAAAATAAACGCTTCTGCCATATTTTCTAAAACTTTTCCAAGCTGCCTTTTCGGCTCCCCTCTTGCTTTATCTGTCTGTTTCTCTCTCTCTCTCTCACTCTCTCTCTCTTTCTCTCTCTCTTTGTCGATTTTTATTACTCGTTGCGCTGTGCCATTATTAAATTTACCTGCACTTGGTTGGAGCATTGTGTTGCCACTTTCACCCTTTCCACCTTCGCGCTTCGTGCCACACACAACACACAGCCAAATGGACTGTTAGTTGTTTTTGACTTGCCACGCCCACTAGTGTCAGCCCAAATGTACTGAAAGTCCCGTCCAGTTGTGCCCTTCTGTGCGATTCCCATCCATACATCCCCCGTTATGAGTTTCATAAACATTTCGTAGGGTTTTCTGCTCGACATTGAAACGAAATTCAATTTCACTCACGTTTTGCTCTCAGTAATCATGTTTAGTGAATATTTTGTGCATTCTCCCTGAAATAGGTCGAAAATTTCTCTGCGAATGTATATTTGAAAACCAGATAGAATTTCAGAATTGGCAGCAGTGTTCAAAAAGGATTCGCATGCCGACCTGTGTCAGGAGAAAAATGCACATTTGGCGGTTTTTTGGAGATGCGGAATTTGTGTACGACTGGTTGATGCACTTGTAAAATTAACTCGTGAATAACGTGCTCGCTACCACTCCGATAATGGTCACCGATCTGTACTAGAATACAAAATACCGTATGCAATTAAAACACATTCTCTAGCATTGTGTCTACACATTATAAATTTAGCATCAAGAGATTTCAGCTTTCAAAGTTGGAAACTTAAATTTGATATACCACTTCCAATCTTAAGATTACCACAATTTGAAACAGCGGAAAGTTCTTCAAAATGGGTCTAGCGAAAGGGAAGCTGAAAGACACAAACCAAAAGAGTTTGATTTATTTTTTTTTTTTTTTTTTTTTTTTTATTTTTTATATTTTGTTTATTAGGAAATCTGGTATCCTGTTACTCTATGTTAGCAACTTTTATCAGAGTGACATAATTACTTAGCTTAGCGATGATTGTGGTTTTACAATTAGTTATACAATTAGGTTAACAGATTACAGAAACATATTTTGGTGTAATTAACGAAGCTTGTCACCTATACATAACGATCGATTAGGTCGGTTGGGTAGGTCCTCTTCAGTCGCCTTCTTCTTCGCCTCCTTAGCAGGCTCCTCGCCAGGATGTTTGGATGGTTGTGGAGCTTTGTTGAGTAGCTCGCTGCTTGCCTGTTGACTATGTCGCCCACCATTGGAACCTTGAGGTCCTTGGCGATGTCGCGTGTGCGAATATACCATTCGGCTCCAGTTATTTTGCGCAGGGTGGTTTGATTTATAGATTAAGTAACAGAGTGCTGCCAACTTACCGAATTCGTGTTTAGTTATGGGATGACAACCTGATGAACTTATAGAGCCTAGAGAGAGAAACCTAGGTAAATATAAATAAACTCAACTTGAACCTAACGAACCCACCAAGTTTTCACTTTGTACTTATGCTTAAGACACTCTACAATTTCGTTGTTTTCTTATGTTATTCTTATTTTGGTATATTTAGTGCCGATCTTAACGATGTGCCCAGTAGTACGATAAGGGTCAAAATCTGGGGGACAGCTATGCATTGAGAGTCCAAAGCGCTCTCTTAGCCAGATTATCGAAGTTATCTGTGAGTTACTCTAAGAAATCATTTGAGATGTGTTTCACATCGCAAATTCAAAGCTTCCTCGTTGGCAAGTGCGATTCAAAGATTTTTTGATATGCTTAAGAGGAGAATTGTTTCAAACCAAAAATCAACTTACAGCCAACGAGGAATACAAAATAAATATAATATGGCACATATTCCACTTTATTCTTAGATCTTTTTGTGCTTTTTCCAAAACTATTTTTTCTCATATTTGATTTCTCTAAGCGTATGGATATTAACATTAGGAGCAGCTGGACAATTGAATAAACAGGTTAACTACGCAAATTTTCGGTAGTATATAAGTATTTTGGCTTTGCATACAGGGTATCCCGGATTCGTACAGTACAGTGCAGTAGTTTTTGCTGCCTACTTTATACTGGCTTTGTGCTCACAAGCGCATTATGGAAGCAATTTTAATCTGGACTGAAATACTCGCACTCATTTTGCATTTTACATGGGAACTTAATTAATTGCGAGCGCGCATTTAAAAATCATAGAAAAAGGGGATAAAAAGCGGTCGACTTAAATATTCGAAAATGCTTAAATAATATAAATCAAATTTAATTTAAATTCCCAATTACAGTTTTAGCAAATTAATTATGCGGCCAACATGAATGCCATGTAAAACGAGTTGATTAGCTGCCAAGCGAATTATTTCCAGTGCTCAACATGGAATTAGTTTTATTTTTTCCTTTTTATTGTTTGGTTTATTATTTAATTTAAAATAAAATTCGTTTTGCTCAAATCACATTTTGGAGTGCAGCAATTAAAATAGCTTTAATGGGGCTCGTTTCGCACATTTCCATAAAACAATTTTAATTAATACTATTCCAAGTAGATAAAGTAGATTTCCAAACAGCTTATAGATATATTTGTAAAAAATTCACGCGCCTACTTATTTTTAATTGTTTAAAGCTTTATTTGAGCCTAATGCCATAAATCAAATTTGTGAGCTCTAATTCAATAGAACAGGGCAATCAGAAGCTGATATGCAAATTTAAAAGAGGTATGCGATTTTATTTTGCAATTAGTCTAGTAGGGAAAGAGTACTTTAATTGGCTAGTCAACCCAGAAGAATAGATTTCACACGTAACTAACTTAATGAATAAATATTACACAATTATTAAGAAAGGCAGGTTCATCAGCAGAAGTCTAATGGCGTATTATGGTAACCCAGTTTGAATCACAACAATAATTGTTTCTGTACAGATTCTGTCTTGCTGAAAAGAATATTGTGGCGACCAGATACATGAATACTCTGAAGTGTACGGATCGTTGAACTCATTTGGCCGTAGTTCGCTGAAACAAGAAAACAATTCTGGCCATTTTGTCCACGTTCGTTCTACTATTATACATTTTACGAACCTTCGGGCTTTACTACTTGCAAGCCCCTATTCCCGGTTGAAAGCTATAACCAATTGGGAATTATAAGCTGCATACGAAATATATGCATGCAAGTTATCTTGAGTAGAATTCAGACTTAAACCATTTATTTGAGCTACTCGCAACTGCTCCCACTCTCTCTCTCTCTCTCTCTCTCCTTCGCTCTCGCGCTCAGCCTCTCTCTTTCTTTTGGCAACACAATGCAAATTGTTGAGATGACGTCACGTCCGTTGATTTTATTTGCAATGACACAATTTCAGAACGCAGCGGCTGTGCCGGATGCTGGCTGTTTAGGGGCGGCTTGGGGGTAACACCAGGCACTTGGGCTTTGTGTGGGTGTGTGTGAGGAAGTAGAGGGGGGGGCTCTGCTGCTTGCGGGGGCGCAACTTTGTTCGCTGTTCAACTCATTTGTAATCATTTGGGCGTTAAATTTTTTGGCGCATTCATCGCTCGCTTTTGCTGCTAGACTTGGGCTACCCTCAATAGCGCTCACCCCAATCCCTACCCCTACTCCTAGCCCTAGCCCTAGCCCCAGCCATGTTCAATTCTCCGTCCGCCCGCCCGACGCCCAACTGCTGCCTGCCATCAGTGTGCTGTCGCTGTTGTTTTTTACAACCTTCATAAATCTTAATTTGAGCGCATGCAGCTAACAGAAATGGTCTAAAAGATGGCCAAAAGGCAATGAGCGGCGAATTGAGGGTGTTTTGGGGGCCGGCAAAGTGACTCGTTTTGAAGTTTTGAGCTGCACTTTTGACGTTACCAGCTGCCTGACAGCCGGCGGGTGTTGCCAGCACCGACTACGACGACGATGACGCGTCGGATGGATGAGCTAACTGAAATTTGTCGCAAGGCAACAACAGCAGCAGCAGCAGCAGCAACAAGCAGCATAACAAGCAACAGCAACAACTGCAGGCAAAAAACGGAAGACACAGACACCAAAATGGGACAAGTTTTCGTCGCGTTAAATTTAATGCTTGTCTCGCTTTTGTTTTTAAGCGCATCTTTTTGGGGTAGACCGAGTACAGCCAGCACACCCTGTGCCAGGGCCACACCCTCCACACCCTGCATATCCCACACCCACCCGCAGAGCTAAGGGAAAGTAAGGCAGTCACAGTGCCATATACAACAAATTGTGCCAAAAATTTTTGGTCAGAGTCCCAAGAAAATGTTGTGAAGGACTATGGGCTGACGTAGGCGTTGGGGATGGGTGGGGGCGTTTCGGTTCTGGCCCGAGGGTCGCCGCCTGGTGGCGCATCCAAACGCATTTTGAAAGCTTTTAGCTGTTAATGTGGCATAAATTTGTCTTTTGTTGCCGCCGCCTCTGCTGCTCCGCTTTTGTGGGCGGAAATTGAAATAAAAAATATTCAAAGCAACAGCTAAGTGGCCAAAACCAAAACGCAAACTTGAAACGTTCCCCCGGGCGCAAGTCAACGCAATGCCAGGTTGGCTGGATGTTGGTGGGACGGCGTAGGGGTAGGGGGCATGGTAACTGTCGGTGGCTGCAACAGCAGTGCGGACAGTTCAAGTGTTTTATGCAAGAGATATTTATGAAATGTATTGATTCACATTAAACGGACTGAAGCAGTTCACAAGGCGTGCTTTCTTGGAACCTGAACTGGAACTGGAACTTAAACAGAATGAGCGCTGAAGGTAAAGTAATTCCTTGATCTAAAAGCGGAACTGAAGTCGGAACTGCCTTGCATTTAGCGCTAAGCTGCATCTCAATATAGAGCTGGATTGAACTTGGACAGAAATTTTGCAGAGATGAAACTTGAGCAACGAACCGGAACTGATATCATTTGCAGCGTTTACTCTGGAATACGAACTGTAGCCTAAACTGGCCCTAATACTGAGTACACGTTCCGCTTTAAATAGCTGTCGCAGTTCAAACAGCAGGAGCAGGAGCTGGAGCTGGAGTTGAAGCAGCAGCAGCACAGGAACTGCTTCAAAATTGAGATTGATGACATGTCAATGAAATTTATTGACACGACGTTGGCGCCTCAACAGCGCAGAATGAAACGTTATATGTCAAGGCATCCACTGGTAATGCCACGCTATGGTCGCTTCTGGCCCGGCCCGGCCCGGCCCGTTCCGGCTTGGTCTGGTCTGGCCTGGCCTGGCCTGGTTTGGCGTAGGCAGCAACAAAATGGCAATGTCTGTGGTAACAGCAACACGTGCGGCGCAATTGAAGCATCAAATTGACTAATTTGTGTGAAACGAATTTTGATTTGTTTGCCACGAAAAACGTTGAATAATGAATAATGAATATCCCCCCCATTCACAGTTCCGCGCGCTAGGCAAGTTAACGCTGGATACATTTAGAAATTATTTAAGGGAACAAAAGT